GCATCCCCAGGTCCTGTGAGCCTCCTCCTCCTCCTCCCCACACACCCATGCACAGCCTCCACCCGCATCCCCAGGTCCTGTGAGCCTCCTCCTCCTCCCCACACACCCATGCACAGCCTCTACCCACATCCCCAGGTCCTGTGAGCCTCCTCCTCCTCCTCCTCCCCACACACCCATGTACAGCCTCCACCCGCATCCCCAGGTCCTGTGAGCCTCCTCCTCCTCCCCACAAACCCATGCACAGCCTCCACCCGCATCCCCAGGTCCTGTGAGCCTCCTCCCGCTTCCCTTCCTGTCAGTGCAGTCTCCTCTGCCACAGCAGTGATCTTACTGTGGCTGAGGCCACAGCCCACCTCGGACCATCAGTGGCGGCACTGGGAGTGGAGTCCTACTGTGCACCCAGCGGTGGAACCGGCGGCTGGAGCATAGCACCCAGCCAAGGCCAACCAGGGGGCAGAGGCCTGCAGGGGAGCTGGGAGGCCACGCAGCGGGGGAGCAGGGCGGGGGGGGGGCAGGCGGGCTTGGTTTGGGGAGCACAAGCAGGGACTGCAGACAGGGTTCCTGAAACAAGGGCAATTGGAGATCCCTGTGGCGGCGCACGGAGCTGCACAGGAGAGCGGTACCTCACGGGGGAAACGGCCCCGGCCCAGCCACGCATCCCCAAACTCTGAGAAAGGGAAAGGCGACTGGGAAGGGAAGGGTTCAGACCGGCTTTCTTCCTGACCTCGGGGTGATTCCAGCCGGGTGGGTTGGAGGAGGTTTGCAAGTTTCATTTTAATATACCAATTTGGAAAAAACAATGAACTTGAAAAATGGGAAACAGATAATCAGACGGTGCAATTAGCTGCTGCTGGATTTGATGTGGGCACTGGATACTGGCTTTTTACAAGGCGGCCAGCCCCTCCCACGTCCCCATGCAAAGGCCTAGGCCCAGCCCGGGCCTGGTGTGAGCTGGGCGGCTCATTATGGAGGCCAACGCACCGTGATTTTCATTAACTCTTCTGATCCGCCAGCCCACGGCCCTCGGCCAGCACTAACACGGCCACAAGATAAAAGGCCCAGGGCTGAAAGCACACTTCAAACAGGTGCGGCCTGCATCCCCTTGTTCAATTACCAGCCCCCTAGCCACCAGCAGCAGGGAAAAGACGTGTTTGCGCTTGCATCAAAGGCTAGGAGGAGTGCGGACACAGTAACTTGCTGCCTCGCCCACCCGCGGGAGGTCTGCCTGGCGCACCAGGCGCAGACGGCGCTGAATGGAGCTCCTGGCCCTTGGGGAGGGCTCACTCCCCAATGAGAGGCTTGGCACCGTCCTTCCCACCCAAGTGGAGCCCAGGCCAGGTGGGCTCTGCCCAGGGCTGGCCCGAGCCCCGGGGCTCCGTGTTGGGGTTCGTCGGCATCCGGCCATCGGCCCAGGGATGGTGCCTGCCCCACCTGTCCGTCTGCACACCTCGCAGGAGTCAGATGGGAGGGTGGGACGGGTCCTCGGAGGGAAGCAGCCATGCCAGTGTGTGGGAAGGACTCTGCCTCGTCCAGAGGACAGAGGTGTGTCCGCACGTGGAGTCCCGGGACAGAGCACCACCGAGGCTGGCACTCTGGAGAGACTCACATTACCTGGCAAGGTGAGTGCCAGGGTGGATGGAGACTCGATCTCAGAACCGAGGTCAGGTGGCAATGGCCCCGTCAGGGCAGGCAGGTGCCCCGCCCAGCACCGCGAGGCTCAGGGGGACCTCAGGCCAGCACCCTGGGGAGTGCTGGACACGGGACAGCAGCAGCGCTGGTGGGAAGCTGCGTGGGAGGGCGGGGCCGAGGGTGAGGCCCAGCCGCCGAGACTCTGCAGCGGCCCACGGACACAGAGCGGCTCTGGGGGCTCTGGCTTCCCGTGGGCTTCAGAGGGCAGGGCAGGGCAGGGGATGTGTGCGGCAGTCTGTGTGGCAGGCGGACACAGAAATGGTGCCCTCACGCGAGCTCTCATGCGGGGTCTGGGCCTGTGGGCGGGGTGCATTTCTGTGTGCCCTCATGGGGCACAGCACCCAGACTGGACCTTCAGAGGGTCCTTTCATGACGAAGAGCAGCGTGTGCCCCAGACCGCGTGGGTAGATGCCTTCGGTCCACTGCCGAGGGGCGTGGAGGACATATGCTGACCCGAGGCGTGTGGACTTAGGGAAGCTGCCTTGGGAAGCTTCAGTCAGCACAAGAGATAGAGTGAGATCAGAGATAGAGCGATGACCAGCCTGCCCCTCCCACGGGGGCTGGTGGGAGGGATACGCAGACGCCACGGTCTCCAATGGCCTCCAGCGCACACAGTCCACCCTGCGCCCTGGGCAAGGAGGGTCAGTGCTCACCCTCTGTCACTCTGCCAGGTGAGTTCACAAGTCCTGAGTCTCTGTGAACAGGGTCCAGTGGGGCCGGGTGGCCGGCCAGCTCATCCTGTGTGTGCAGCCCAGAGCTGGACGCCAGCCGTTTGCAGTGAACTTTCTAAGAAAGCTTAACTCTATTCTGGACTCAAATAGCTTTCCAATAGAAGGAAAAAGCAGATTTGGGGGCAATCTTTGCCACTGGTCATTCCATTTTGTGAAACTTACACGAGAGAAAATTAATAACCAAAACTCTGTAGGTGGACAGGAGACCTCAGGGCTGCAGCCCAGCCTGGCCGGGCTGGAATGACTTTGAAGAGACAAGGCAAGACTCCCCAGAGTCCTGGGTACAGAAGGCAGAGAACGGGGTATAATTTTATCCTTTAGAAAACATGCCATTTCAGTGAAAATGGGAACATTTCAGGCTTTAACCTGGAAGGTAAATATCTATTATTTAAAACGAAGTTCATTTTAAGAAAAGAAACTTAAACTCCTTCCCGCTTCCTGGTGCCTGGCCTCCGCCTCTGGCGCATGCTGGCGTTTGTCAGAATCGTCTTTGACATCTCTCTGCCTTCCCTCCTTCCACCTAACTGAACAAAATGCACGCTTCCACTCTCCAGGTGTGAGGGCCACCGAGTCTCCTGTGCGTTAGATGTTTGTTTTTAGCCCCTGTGCTTACCTCAGCATTTGCACAGTGAGATGACGGACTGAGGTAAATTTATCCACTGAGCATTTAACCAGAGGCTGGTACCCGGGAGAGGGAGGCGCCAGTCAACAGAGCGGGGACGGAACTGCGTGCCTTCCAACCAGGCTCCATTACACACACACTAAGCGAAAGGCACGTCGGAGGCCTCTGACTCCACCATGCCGACGGAGCTGCAGCAGGGTTGAGGGGAATTGCTCATCTAAACCCAGAAGTCACATCCACCCCTCAAAGATCCACCATGAGGGAACCCATTCACAAACCAGTTTCAAGTTTTTCCTGTGGTGCTGGGAATCAAACCCAGGGTTCATTTTGCTTTTATAACTTGGTTTTGTTTTCCTGCTGAGCTAACTCAAGAACAGCAGCAACAGAAGGGATCTGCCCAGACAGGAGGGTTTCCTCCCAATTCTGCTATTCCCCGCCGCAGCCGCAGGGGTCCGCAGGCCTGCCCTGCAGCCTGTGGGACAAGGCCACACCTCCCACAGGTGCTCAGAGAAAAACCCTCTTCCTCCACAGAGCCTCAAAGGATACCCTCAGCTCTGTCCTGCCCCTTGCGGTCTAGCTAACCTACATGACATGACTCACCCACTGCCTGAGTCCTTACACCCGCAAAGGTCAGGAGCCCAGCTCCTCCGAGTGAGGGTCACACACAGCATGAGACACCAGGACTCACATGCCAGGGGGGAAAGACAGGGTCCTGCTGCACGACTCTGCCACCCACAGTGACCTCAGGAAGCAGCAGTGTCTGCAGAGAACATGCTCCCAGCCTTCAGTGCTGCTTGGGCACATCTACCCCTGTGCAAGAGCATGTTTGTGTACAGGTTATGTACGCATGTTAGCATACGCACCTGTGTGTGCACTTACAGCTGTGTATGTCCATAGATGCTGCTGTGCGTGTATATACACACACGTGTTGACTGTCACGGGTTCATGAGTGTGTGCATATACGAGCACCTTCTGTGTGTGTAAGCACTCACATGCACACATGTATATACTTGGGAAGGTACGCATTTGGTTTTGCGCATGTGTGGGTGGCATGCCTGTCCCTGTGAGCAATGAGCTACAGCAATACCACGCTCACGCCTTCCTTCTGAGCATCCCACCTGAGCAAGGATTGCTTTATCAGTGCCCTAGACAGCGTTTATACACAGACAGAACTAGTCTGCCTAGGA